AATTTTAAAAGGAAGAGTTTTAAAAGGATGTCTGTGTCAGCATGGACTTCTAGTTGAGAACACAACAAATCTGAGGTAGAACACTTCAGTGTTAACATAAATCACTCCCAAAAGTTGTTACTACAAACCTAGAAAATTGACATTTAAAAAGGATACCAAAAGGTAACAAGGTAACATGGTAGAAATAAAACATCTTAATAGTTTGCTCTGAAGCGTCACTGTGAGAGTGAATATCTATCTGCTTTCTCACATGCTTTCTCTTTATGGTCCCAAATTAAATGGAAGCAATGATGCTGTCGTTAGTATTATTGTCATTTTAGGGAAAAAAATTCCCACTAGGATAGCTCAGAACTTCCTTTTCCAAGAAATTACACTTAATCCTAAAATCCTGGCTGAATGTCCTCTCTCACAGTCAGATGTTAGCAACCCCAAAACACTTTCTGAAAAGTTGGGACGAGCCAAAGGCCTCTGCAGTTTTCCCACTCATTCCACACTGGTGATGGCCCTGCTGGAACCTCCTGCCTTTCAGCTCTGCCATGGCTCAGCAGAAGTGAAAGGCACACTTCTGGTCTGCAGACTAAGAAAAAGCTATGCAAAGGCAAAGCAGTTCCTGTCAGCCATCATCCTTGTTTCTCTTTCATGCTGGTACACTTCAGTTTAATGAGTCTCACTGCTGTGTCCTCAAGCTCAGGACAGAGCTTCATTTTGGTGGAACTTCTTTTATTTAGGGACATAAGGAGCATTAAAGGTAGATGGTAATTAACCAATAGCGAGCCAGCGAAGCATTTGGTACACTGATCTTAAGACAAAAATTTTAAAAGAAAAGGAGTTCTCCCAGCTGAACACTGTAAGAAAGGTACAAGACTACGTGAAATACTAAGCAAGGGTATTTTTACTGTGTGATTTATGCCATAACCAGTAAAACTAGGCTTCAACCTGTACTCTCTGCAAGTACCCACAGAACCATTAACACTTCCTGCAGTAGAAACAACCCCCCAATGACAAGCTGCTCAAGTGAAAAGTGTCCCTTGCTAGAGAAGAGCCTGCAGAACATAATTCACTCTGAAGCTGCTCAGACCCTTCTAATGAGGTTAGGAAATCCGTGCTCTCTCTACTCTGCTGAATCCATGGCTGCTGCCACCAGCACAGCTGCATCGATGGGGAATTTTCGCCCCTTTTTGCTCTTCCCAAACATCAAGCACATTCAGCACAACCTGGAGTAGACTCAGATATTCAGATTTCAGGGCTTCCTCCTGTTTGCTCCAGCAGGACTTTAGTCAAAACTATTTGAGACTATGCAAGTACTGCAATACTGAACTAGCCACACAAAGTTCTGGCCACTTTTAATCATGAATTCAATTAATGTTACCTTCCTAGTGGGAATACTAACCTCCTCCTCCTAAAAAAGCAGACAGTTTTACTGCTTTCTCTCAGTCATCTTTGTCCCTTCATGCACTTCCCCTAACATGCAAGTTATCACCAGAAGCAGTCACTGTTAGCTGCAGGCATCTATGGGGATGTTGAGTGGGTTTTACCAGGTTCCAGAGGAGGCCCAGCAGTAGGCTATAAATTTACAGCTCAACCCAGATCAATCTGAAAGTGCAAGACTGTACAACTAACAAACCAATAGTGAAGTTGTAAACTACATCAACAGTGGGCACTTAAACACTATACAAAAACATTAAATAGCTCTACTTCTCTTTGCCTCTAAGAAGCAAGCACGTAATCTCTTCAGAGTGCTGGGAAAAGAAATTTACAGTGATTATATCCTGCAGCACTTCAGAATCCATTGGCACTGCATAGCTTTCTGTCTCTAACACCTAAGAACCTTCTATCAAGAGACCAGTAAATGAAGCTCAACAAAATAACTCATGTATAGGCTGGTGGTTTTTGTTCCTGCTGAACACACAGCCAGCAATCCTAATATGTGTAAGTATGCATATGTATACAAAATATTTATTTTTGAAGAGGTCCTGTAAAAATCGAGAGAGCAGTTAATTACTAAGAATCTATTGACCCAAGTCGGTCCTGTTTTGAGCAGGCTAATCTCCAGAGGTCCCTTTCAAGTTCTACTATTCACTGTAGATCAACATGCAAATGTCTCCATTATAAGGAGAATATAGGAAGATGCACAAAACAATGTGTATGGCCTTTTTGTCACTGTGTTTGGAGGAAGAAGGAGACCGAGAGGAAGGCAAAGGACAAAGAGATGAAGAAGTTTTGCACTAACCTTTTCACAGGGGCTGAGGGATAGGATGAATTTGAGCTGTGCCAGAAACCTGAGAACTGAGATAGTCACATGTAAGAATGGAGAGACTATATATACCAAAATCAGCCTGGAAACTCCACACGAGGGACAGCACTCCAACAATTTGTTTAGGCACTACCCGTCGGCAGATGCTTCCTATCCTGCACCTTAGTCTGGGAAAAGTGATACAAATACATGGTGGGAGTGTTTCCTGGATTTTCTTTCTTAGCATCTTTCAGTTTCTGGTCATATTTATTTATTTATTTATTTATTCATTTATTTATTTAAGTAATATATCCATAAACCAAGTAACAGAACTTCCTCGGAAGCAACCAGGAGCAACAGCTGGTGGCTTGTGTCCAAGAAAGCAACAATTTTGTCTGAGGTTCACCATGATTTGTGGTATTTGGTCATTGAGTCCCCAGAAACAAAATGACAGAGGAAGAGGTTTACACACATCCCTACAGTTCAAAGCCAAAGGAGTTTTGTACAGTAGTAGAAACAGCAGTGCTTTATGCTAGACAAAGGATTACTCTAGCGCCAGTGGCCAGATTAGGAGAATGTGCTCTCAGCATCAGGAGCCTCTTGACTGACTAAAGAGGGAAAGGGCAAGAGGATGTTACCATTGCCACGCCATCCGCTATGCTTTGTACTCCTTCCTTCCTTCCACTGCCCTGGGTAAACTTAAAACAGCAAGCGCTGTGATGTACAAATTGTTCTCAGAGGGAACATGAAAATGGACTCAGGTGTGGCAGTCAAACAACAAAAACAATAGCCAGATCTACAAGAAGAGAGAGGAGTCAGACCAAGCTCCCCTTCCCGTGCCATACACACCTACCCAGAGGGTGAGTAGATCTGCTTTGCAAAGCACTCCATCTGTGAGTGATGGCAAAGAGCATCATCTGAAAAACAAAAAGAGCGCTGTCTACAGCGTCCTGCAAGTACGATTTCTGTGGGTAATCTCTGACACGTAACGTCTTCACACAGGATATTGAGGGCATCTCTATTTGAAAGCTGGTAATGTGCAAAAGCAATGACTTTTGAGGACTGGTATCTTCACATGTACTGCCAGTCAAACTCCAAGTAATACTATTAGAAACATTTTTCAAGAGTTAAAAAAAAAAAAAAAGTAAGGTAGTTATAGCCTGTCCTCCAAAGACATACTTCCCTGGAAGAGCTGCAAACACTCCCTTAACTCCCCTACTCTTTTCACAATTTCAACCTCCTTGCTTTTCAAGGCTGTAAAAAATGGCCCAGATCACACTCATCTTAAGATGTAATGATGGCAAATACATTTTTAAATGAGAACATTCTGTTCTTTGGTGCTGGGACCATGAGTAGTGCCCATATAAATCCAGATATCAAACTGATGTTGGTGGTACTAGAAATAACAGTTAATTATACAGTTTTTGCTTTCCAAGTCTGTTTTCCCCAGTTTCACTGTCATCCAGACCACATAAAGAAGCGATATAAACAAAGAAAAAAATCTGTGAGATTTCTGAAGTTCATTCTTTAACTCATGATACATTTCCCTTTGCCTAACCGTCCCCCATACAGCTGCTTCTTTTTGGAGTGACAACTCCAGTCTCAGCATAGGACTAAGGGTTTCTCATCCACTAGTAAACTGCTGTAATGGCTGGAATACTTAAATAAAAATTAGATTTGCTAAACCTCACAAGCATACCTGTTAGAACAGCTGCTATCGATGTACAGACTCAAATGGAGCAAGAGTTGGTGCAATCAGCTTTCATCAGCTACACTGGTCTTGCATCTACCTGTATTTTGTGCCCATAATGACTGACAATAGAAATTCTCAGGCATCTAGGCCAACAAACCAGTTAACTTCCACACTAACTTCATCTTATAAGAAAATGCCTTCTTGACAACAGCTGCCTCCAAAATTCAACGCCTGAAAGCAGGATTGGTCCGAATGTGGGACAGGCCACAGTATGCAATGATGTCCCAGTCCAGTGACTCACCACATCTACTAGGACTCTTCAGAACTTTGCCTCTGCCTCAAGAGGCTGCAGAAGTGACCTACATATGCAGATATTTGAAGCACTGCGCTGTTTTTCAGACGTTTTCTCTTACCGCTGCAGTCAATAAACCAGAGCCAGCTGCACTCCTGGTTCAACACTGTTATTTGGGTCCAGCTTCCTCGAGTCCCTGGGCCAGCAGAGGGAGCGCAAGCACACTCACGATTCCTGCATTAGGAGCTGCAGCAGCTCACTCCATGTTCCTCATAACACAGCAAAGCTGACACTACCAATGACAGTCACCACAGACAACTGTTTCAAATGAAACTCAGATCGGGAAAAAAAGCACCTCTTTCAATGTCTGTCAAATAGGAGAGGACAAAACCCCCAAACAGAATAAATTACTTTGGGGATTATGCAAAGCATTTTTCAAATATTTGAACATAAAGAAAGGAGAGAAAAAAAAAAATGAAGAGGAGTGATATCTGCCAGCATTTGTAAGGGTGGATAAACAAACACACTTTCTCTTTATCATTTGTCCTCATTCCAGAAAATAGCCATCCTCTATACACATCCTTGTTTTAGTTCCTGTCATTGAAAGTGACTCAGAAGGAGCTCTCAACACAGCAGATGCTGAAAGAGCATACGCAAAATCTCTGTGGAAGTGTCTGTGTTGTTCCAGTTTGTTTTTCTGTCACACAAAACACGGAGTATTTTATGGCCTTTCTCTGGAACACAAAGCCCCAGAAGGGTAGACAGAAGAGAACTGGACTCACCTCATCCAGTTTGCTTTGGTTTCATCTGTCCCATCGATGGATTTGTAGCGGTTGTTCTTGTCAACTATCTGCAGAACAGAATAGATGCAGCATGTAAACTGGCTGGTTCTGACAGGAGGAAGTCTTCAACTTTCAGATCTGCTTCACTTCCAGCCTCAGTTCAGATCATGAAACAATGCCATGAACCTAAACTTGCCCAATCCTGTAGACTGCTGCGCTGGATATTTGCGTGGAAGCGACTCTGACCTAAGAAATTTCTTCCTATTACAAGCATCTGTAACACGGAATTATGGATGCAGCTGACAAAATGGTTAAGTCCCCAGATACAAAAGATTAACCTCTCCTACAGGGCAGAGCTGACATACACATTTATTTTTACAAGAGTGTGAGCAGCATTTCATACTAGAAGCTCTCATTTTTTTCCCACCTAGAATTCAAGTCCCACATCTTATTTCCAACAATAATTAGTACCTGTTGATGTCTCTATCTCTAGAGATATCTGTGATATCTCAACCTCACAGGCTAACAGAATTCTGTAATACTAGTATCATCAAAAAGATAATATTTGGTGCATTTGGATCAGTTCCTGATGGATTGGGAGAGCTGCATCTATTCTTTCCTGGCCCCTTGGGCCTTGTTCAAGCTGAATGGGAAGGATGCTGGAGGCTCAAGGGAGCGCTCTGCAATCTCCAGATATGGTCTTTCTTCTCAAAGTGATGATGAGAATGGAGGTTGCACTGGACGAAGCTAAGACTGAGTGGGGATGGAAGAACATGCAAGAGAGAGAGAAGACACAAGCTCTGCTTTATACAGCTGGTGTCATGACATCTAGTGTCATGACATCTGACTTCCTTTTGCTTATCTGTACCCTGAAGTCAATAATCACTATGGCAGGTTGATCTTTGCCTATTACTCACATGGATCAGCATAAGAGCTTCAGGGAAGGAGGAAGAGATGGCTAAGTTCCGGCTCCATGAGCCACTAAGCGCCAGTTCTGGGCTCAAAAGTCATTTCTATAGGGAGACAGCTTACTCACCAGCCACGAGAAGAATCCTGCAGACTTGTCCTGGCTAGAGATCTGCCCCTCGTACGGCCCGAAGATATGACCTTTGGGGATCACCTCATTCATGCAGCGCACGTCGTTCTCCCCACTGGGCTCTTTCACCACCTCTATGCCAGGCGGGATGGTCAGTGCTGCCCGGTCAGGGATGCCAACAGGCACTGGCGTGTCAGAGACGAACACAGGGGGACCGTGGTTGGGGCACTCATCCACAAAGTACTCCTGGCAGGACTCGCAGACTGTGGGAGGGAGGGGAGCAGGGGTTAGGGCAGGTAGATATGACACCCACTCTGGCTCATACAACACGTGGTGCTGAGGTCAGCTCACCTCACCTTCCCATTCTATCCCCAGCTCAGCCAAGGCAGGTAGAGCTGTAATCCCCATCACCACATAGACTTGCCACTTGTTTCATCACATGCCTCTCAGCAACTGCTCTGCCCCAGCTCAAACCTGTCCATCCCAAACCTGTGTGCTCTAACAGGAAAACGTCTCTCTCTCTCCTCAGGCAAGCACCAATAGTGAATGCTGATTTACCATTGATGGCTCCATGTACAGTGAAACCCACTCACTGTCTGCAAAGTCAGAGCAGGGAGATTTGCTGATCACACACCAGAGGGGAAGGAAAACCAATGTCCCTGAAGAGAAATACCCTCATGCTATGTCCTTCATCCTGCTTTGGAGATAGGAGATGGCATTCCTAATCAAATTTGTCTTCTTCAGGGAGCAGGTACATCTATCCCTGGCTTTTTCCTTTCCTGCTTCCTACTCCAAGACAACAGGCTGCCAATTAGGGAAGCCTGAACTCTATACAAACAGAGGTACTACTGTTTTCTCACTAACAGTACACTTACACCAGAAATCCACTTGCTGGAAACTCTTGGTCATGATCAAATCCCGTTTCCCTTTCAGTTTCTTGGGCTCCACATCCATGGACTGTGGATCGGGCCTTCCAGAGCTGAGGAGAAAAACAACAGAAAGACAACTTTAACCTACTAAAACCCAGAAAACCAAACACAGAAACAGAAAAATGAGTCCATGGGGGCTGAGCAACTCAGTCGTCATACCTGCAGCAGAGAAATGATTCAAATTGTAACCCAAGCTGGCAAAAGACAGTATTTGAGATGCCTTATGACTAAAGCCTACAGAAGTTTGTGGCTTCAGTTAGAAAATCTGCATGCATAACATGCAGCTGGCCTGCCCACCCACTTGATAATATCCAGAAGAGATTCCCACCAGCAGAAAGGCTGCTTCGCTCTACTAAAGCCCCAGAACGTGTTGGCCAAAGGCAAGGCATGGCTCTCCACACAAGCCAGCACCACAAGGCTGGATGTGAACTAGAGCATGCAGCAGACACGTGCCTAGCACATGAGGGGGTGACCATTCCTGCCATACACCTCAAGGGAGATCTCACTAGTGAGAGTTTTAACAACTTTGTGAGGTTCAAGTATACCCCAAGGGGAAGAAGAAGAAAAAGGGGAGAGTGTATTTGACTAAAACTCAGCTGCTTACCAAGGCTGTCCATACTCCTGGTCCTGGTGCGGAGAGCAGGCCTCTGTTTTTATTGTCACCATTTCTCCTAAGGAAGCCTGGGTCTGGTTCAAACAGTCCTTCAAGTTTTCACTCATGTTCTGAAAAAAAGGAAGGAAGGGAGGAGAAAAGTGAGTGGCCAGGAAATCACGACCTTCCCCCTTCAGACGAGAATCCAACCAACAGACCTCCCCACAGCAATAAGAACAGCCATCAGGACAATGCCAAGGCATCTTCACACACGCATAGGTGTAAATTCCTTCCTGCCGTGAGAAGGAAGCAGCAGTTCAGTTGCAGGTCAGGTGAAGAATGTGAAACACCGCGGAGCAACCTGAGGCACAGGGAATGCAAAGTATGCTCTACAGAAAATGTTACACATGGAATTTAAGACTTATGGATAGGTTGTGTTACTGAAATACCAAGCATGATTATTTCAGAGCAAGTCTTTGCAGCCTGACTGCCAAGAAAGAGGAATGCAAATGGCAGTGTGAACCAGGCCCTGTCTACAAATCTAACATATGCCAGTCCTCTTTCGTGAACAGAGCAAGTTATCACATCTGAAGATGGAGCTTTCTGTGTGCTCTGGACATCTCTGACAGACAGGTAGCCTACCACAGCCTTCCCATCCCTTGCAATGAATAAAGGTGAGTGATCACCATTACCCTTGTAGAACACAGGCTGCTTTTCCCTTAGCTCTCCGCACGAGCCAGGAACCTCTAAGGCAGAAAGCTTCAAACTGCTAACCTCCCACACTTCTTGCTACAGGGTGCTGCTGAAGAGAAAATATTGATGCAGAAAGTGATAATAATTCAGAATTAGTTTAGCTAAGATTTTTTTGCAGGGCCAGTACAAATCAAAGCATCATATCTCGAGACAAGGAATAAGGCTGAGTGACAGCTGCTTGTCTCTTCATTCCATTCATCTTAAGATCTCCTCCAAACCACATAAACTGGCTGTTCTGAAGCCTGATACCAAATTGAACAGCTTTGCAGCTGCTCCCCAGAAGTCCCCATGACCCCCTTTTTCCCCTTTTGCTGCAGCAGGAGAGAAAGGAGAGGCTGCAGCAGCTGAGCTGCCAACTCCTGTCAAGAAAGCCAGTGGAAGTCATTATGACTTGACTCTGGATACTTTTAAAAGTTATGTTAATGGGCCACAAGTCTTTGAAGACAGGAATTCTCTTATGCTGCACACACTTGTGGAGGACTGAGCACCGTAGAAATCTGGTCTGCACTTGAACACTGTTTACAAGAAGAAGGAAGTCTACTCCCAGCCTTTGCAGCCCTTCTTTGTGCTAGGGGAATAAATGATTAATTTTTCCAGCTCGACTTCTCACATGCCAACCTGCAGGCTGAAAGACCTTTATCACATGTGCATCAAGGAAGCACCAGTTAACATTCATACAGCATTCTGAAAGCAACGCCTCAAGGAAAGTGCAAGCAGATAGATGCAAACATGCACACTTTTAAGAGTCCATGTTATGTGACGTCCAACACAAGATATGTTTTCTTTTCAAATTACTATACATAGTCAGAAGAAAAGTGGTGGGGCTGCCTCAGCATTTCAGCAGAGTGAGCCCCTAATCTGCACTCTCCAGAGCAAGAATAAAGCTTTTTGATCCTGTCTCTACTAGAGGCTACTGGCTTTCCTCTAGGAGAATCAACAGTCTTCCTGAGAAATCTGCAGAAAAGCAGCTCAGGAGGAAAAAAGCAGCAGCTGCATGTATGTGTGTGGGGTGCTGCTTAAAGAACAAAAAGAAATGGATGCTGCCCCATAGCTGGTAGCTCTGGGGCCTGTGCTGGCACAGGAGAGGCGGATGCTGGCAGTGGTGCAGACAATCTGCATAGAATGCTGTCGGAATAAAAGTTTGGAGGACAGGGCATCTGGAACTTAAATGCCCACAAAGCCCAAGGCTCTTTAGTAGGAAGAGCTGCAGACATATGTCCCTGTGAACAGACAATGGCTTCCTCTTCCTCGAGGGATTCCTGCTTTATGAAGCAAGAGGGATGCCAGGACTGTGCAGGCTGACCTCCTGTGCAGCACAGGCTGGGGCACTTCCTGGAGTCAATTCCTGGTTCAATTACAGCATACCTCCAAGATGAGCAGGGGGAAATTTTTTTATTTTTTTAATCCAATGATGGTTTTATAAATGGAGGTTCCCATCCCACTGTACAGCATAGTTCCCAGCCCTTCATTCTTATGGTCCTCCCTGAAGTCACTACAACTTATCAGCCACATTCCTGACAGCTGTGTTCCTGCACAGGCTGAAGCAGTGCCTTGCGCTGAGACACCACTCTCCCTGTTCAAGATTTACACTTTTGTGTCCAAGTCGCACATTTACTTTCTAACCATGCCCAGCTGGAATTTTATGTCTGACAAAACACCTCACTGCTCTAAGGGTCCTTGATCCTGCAAAGCTGCCAGGTGGCCATCCCTGCTCCCCACTTTTCTGGGTATCCCGCTGGTTCACCTAGACTGCTGTTTTCTTACCCAGTAAACGTAACATCCCAAGCCTGTTGTTAGCTTGTTTGTTTTCATCATTTGTGATTCTCTCAGACTTTGTGTTGACCACAAAGATCATAAAAATTAACTTCATGCTGTTCTCCAGGACACTGATAAACTTGTTGATTAACACTGAGTCAAAAAAATGAATCCCAGCAGACACTGATAGAGATGCACAACAAGCACAGTTCTCTTCTTGTTGCCACTCTGCAACCTTTCATTTGGTCATGTTTTCACTCACCAAGTGTAACATGTTGGATCATTCTAGCTGCTTATTCCAACAACCTGTGCTACAATTTCTATGCACTAAAGGCTGAAGGCATACCAACATGTTTACCTTTATTGAACAAAGCCACAGCAGTGTCACCAAAAATCACACTATGTTTGAAAATACCTATTTTCCAAAAATCTGTACAGATGGATCATTACAATTGATGTCCCCTTTAACCAAACCAAATCCCTACCATTAATACATAGTTTTACAGGTGCCTCACCCCAACAACAGGAAGCCTACATCAGATAGAAGGTAACCTAATATCCCAGTTTGGCCAGAGTAAACTTGTTATTAGCTTACTTATTTATGACTTCATCGCTAGCACAGAACAGTTTTTTTTTTAAGTCTAACTCATTATGAACATATTTTTTAAAATGTTTTTAGTATTTATGGCCCACAGAGAACTAACTGCTCAGACAGCACTTTAACATCCCTTAATTCAGGCTAGCCAAAACAGCTAAGTTAAAAATGTTCTTCTTTAGTAGCTGTTTAGTTATTTCCCAAGCTACTGTTACAACAGAGAGCATTGCACTGCTGCTGTAACTGGCTGAGTTAATTGGATGATAATACCAGTCCTCGAGGGAAGAAATATTCCCCATTTCTCCAGTTCCAGGTGCCTGTAGATGACCCCGCACTTAGGACTCTTCTAGTTTCAGATGCATGTAAAGCCGTTGTTAATTTCTCTTAATTTTACTGCCCACTGTTTCTTCTTGCTTGCCATTTTCCACACCTGCAAGATTCTGTCACACTCCACACATTTCACATCCTTCCTTCACTTCATTATTTTTTATACCTAAAGATGAAGATCCTCTGGAGATTTCAGATAACAGAGAAGCAGCATGTAAGCACAAGCAGGGCTGGCTGCTTTAGTTAGCTGCCAAAGGCATTCCCAGGATACACACATCCCTGCGGCCACCAAGACAGTCCTCCTGAGGCCAGCGTGCACACAGCCTATTGCAATCTCCCAGTAGCACGTTAGGGAGGTCAGTCCTTAGCTCAGAGGGATGCTGTGAAGATCCAGGTGTTCTTTGCACACAGCAGCTCCTCCGGACAAGAAAGGCAGTCATGGTAGGAGGCACAACATCCCTCAGGGAGACCCAGGACACCAACACAGCTGCTGCACAGTGTCTCCCATTCTCATTACAAAGTAGGCAAGAACCTGTAACGTTATTACACAACACCCCTAAAGATCTCCTGTGGCATTATCATCTCCCCAACAACAAAGGAAACAGAAAACACCAGAATATCTGAGACGTTAAATGCGTGAAAAAAAGAAAAAAATCCAAATGGGTTCTGGCATGAACAAACCTGTGAATTCCTGCCCTCAAGAATGCCGCCTTTATCACTGCCCCTCTCGCAGTTATTAGTTAACAGCCACAGACTCTTATCTGCCTGGATCAGGCTCCAAAACAGAGCTTTAATTTTACATTTTACTGGCATGTTTCCCAGATTTGGACATTCTTGTATGTGAAATAGCCATATAGGAATCCATCCCCTCCTCACTATTCAGCTCATTCCTTCTATTTCTTACTGCTGGCCTTCTAGAGGTCATTGCCTCTTCTTTTAACATCTTGCACAGCTTGTATAGTATTTTAAAGTGCAGGCCCGTGCATTAAGATGGACTTTAATTCATACTTTTTTTCTCCAGTTGCATATTATTACCAGAAATAGTAATCCAGAACACTCAGCTACTGACGAGTAAAGGCAGGGAATGAAGCACCGCATTCAGGGCTGAGATGCCCCCCAGCAGCTACCAACGACCTTGGGAGACTGTTTTCCTCAAGATGTACACACTTACCAAGGTCCTTGGCCATGCCAACCATTACAGGCCACTTAACGAAGTATCAGCTGGCCACACAGCCCATAGCACAGCCAACACAGACCTCAAGAGACCCCACTGAGTAAGACTGAGAAGCAAACTGTTCTGAAGAGGACCCTCCACAGCATGCCTGACCCCGCACTATCATGCCTTGGCTTAATACCCCTCTGCCAAAGTACGATGCTCCTATGGGTGAAGCTGCCCTGTGGCACGGCAGAGCAGTGCCCCAACATATCCTAACATAGTAACACACCGGTGGCCTGCCTCCTGCAAGGCCATCTGGTGAGCACTGGGCTCTTTCCTAACAGCTGCAAAGCAGGGCTGAATGTAGCCTCCCGCGGTGGGATGCAAGCTAGGGCACTCACACATTCAAACTTCACCAATACAAATTACAGGGCACAGGTGACTCTGGATTTGAGCAGTGTGGCCTACAAACAGGACATGGCTTAATTGCTGCCAATTACACCACCACAGTCAGTAGCCATGAATTCAGCAAAAGCATAAGACAT